ATGTGCAGAAATAGTTGCTTGCAATAAATTTAGGTAAAAGCAAACAAGAGCTGGGATGTGGCTCACTGGCAGAGCGCTCATGCCCAGCATGCTCGTTTGATCCCCGATACCGCACATACACAAACTCAGACGTATTGCCCATGATCTCAGGTCCCCACTGCCTTTGTTACGATGCTGCAGGAGACCAGAAGCAGAGCCTAGCACTCAGCTGTGAGGAAAGCCAGAGAATGAGGCCGGGGTGGCCTTGAGCCAGGCTGCCACTGGTAAGGCAGTTGGTGAAAGCGCACTTGTTTCCAGTTAGGCACTTAACTGAGGCTTACTGCCGAGCCAAGGGGAAGCGGCCTACCACGGTTGCCCAAAGTTAGCTTGAATTAGGGCCACCCTAGAACTAGGTCTGAGGGCATTCAGAAGGATGACAGTTGGGCGTCATGGGGTCCAGTGAGCCTGATGGCTTTGGAACCTTAGTGTGCCTCCCTAACCCAGTTTTCAGCCAAGGGTCCCATGGTTTCATCCATTCTTGCTTGGGAGGGAGGAGTGTGTGTTTATAAAACCATATCCCTCGCAGCCAAGCTCAGCCTGTGACATCCAGGTTTGCCTGAGCTGCATACGACAGCTGGGGCCTGCTTATGCCCTCCCTGCTGGGTTGTTGGCCTTAAGCCTAGCTTGGTTCTATCCTTCTGTGCCTCAAGGTGTCTACTACGGCCTGGGAAGGCATTGCCCCCGCCCCCATCCAGCCCCAGGTCTATTCTCTGTGGCCTCTGGGAGGTTCAGGTTTCTACCCACCAGGTGGGCAGCTCCCCTTGTCCCCCAAACAGCAGCTCAGCTCACAACACTGCCCTGTTCCTGCCACCTGGGCCCCCAGGTACCATCTGCCACCTTGTTTCAGACAGCAGGTAGGCGATCTCAGGGCAAGGGCAAGAAGAAAGCATGAGGGCCTAGGATAGAGAATGCATGGGGTTCCGAGCAGAGGGCAGCCAGGTTTAGCACCCCCACCTGCTCCCTGCCTGGCATCTGCATTGTTCTCAGCCTCTCTGTGGGACTCATAAATGCAGGCGTGCGGATGGATGTGACAAAGAGCCCCCACAGTGGAACCCCATCTTCACCTCTTAACTGTATGACTACGGGGTCTCTCTGGACGTCTCTGTGTGGATCTGAGTCTCAGACCGGGTTCTCAAACCGCACGGGGCCCCTTGTGTCCCTCAGCTTGTTCCTCCGTGGCCTTCCTGCCATCCGCCTATCTCTGTGCCTCTGGGGCTAAGGGTGTCTTTGAACCGCCCTCACCCATGTTGGACGGCTTCACTTAATTTCATCTTCCCCCGTCTCCCCAAACTGGAAGTAAGCTGCCTCCCCAACCCCTGCACTTCTTGGATTTAACAAGCCTGCTGGAAAACAATAGTGATTTCCGCATCGATCATAAACAGAAGTGATTACCATACAATTACGGCCTGAACCATCAGCCTGGATGCAATCACAGAGCTGTGTTGTAAATCGGAAGACAATTGCCTGCAGAATTACCCCCAAATTGGTTTAAGTGGCAACAAAGGAGTGTTGACATTTTGAGGAGGGGTGAGAGAATTCTGGTGGTCCTGGAAGTGGAGGATCTCCACTGGGGTGCTCTCTAGTGGCTTCTTGGAAATTAAATATGGGAAGAGCTACCTGTCATTTTTTCTTTCCACACCCAGTTTCCCCCAACCCCCTTTGACTACTGTTCCTTGCCTGTGTTGGCACAATTAGTTGTAAACTCGTTTATACTAATGTGTGAGTGGCTAAGTATTCCTTGAAACTGGCATGATAGTAAGGAGGTGAGCCTGTGGTGGGGTGTTCTGGGAGCCCACTCAACTATCACCCTCTCTGCCAGCCCCCTTTTCACCTGTGGCTAGCCCAGGCAAGCTCCTCTCTCTTCTAACCGGCCTCTTCCCTCTCTGTCTCCTAGCCCAGTCAGTGGCGGACTCCATTCAGGCCTCTCCCACATCCCATCTAGGGCAGCCATCCCGAGGTGTGGCTTGCAGGCAGGCAGCCTCAGTAGTCAAAGCCTGTGCCTTTCCTGTCTGTGGTTTGTGACAAGTTTCTGACTGGGAGATGCCTCTTAAGTCTGGACTGTTAATCTTAAGCTGTGTGTGTGTGTGTGTGTGTGTGTGTGTGTGTGTGTGCTATTAATCTCCAGCTGTGTTTGTGTGTATATTGTTAATCTCCAGCTATGTCTGTCTGTCTGTGTTTACTATTCATATCCAGCTCTGTGTGTGTGTGTTATCTCTAGGTGTGTGTGTATGGTGTATGTTATCTCCAGGGTGTGTGTGTTGTTATCTCCAGGTGTGTGTGTGTGTGTGTGTGTGTGTGTGTGTGTGTGTATGTGTACGCACACACTCTCTCTAGGATATCACACTGCGTTCAAGTTCTCAGGAACCGAGAGCAGCCTGCCTGTGATTGGTAGACCCAGCTTCTGCCAGGTGCAGCCAAGTCCACCCCGGCAGTGACCGCTTGGCACGTCTTGTCCGATCTTCGCAGGAGGGTTCAAGCATACTTGTGACTGTGTCCTGGTTTGGGATTCTAAAAGCTGCCGGATGGGGTGGGTTGGTCTAGGCCGTATGGTCCATTTAAGTGAGGAGTGGGGTCATCAGACTGATATTCTAAATAGCTTGCCCCTAGTTGCCATCCCTCCAGGCCTGCTGAGGGCAGGCAGTGGTGCCTGACCTGCCCATGACCTCGAGCAGTTCTCAATAGTGAAAATACACTTTCTCTTTCAAGCCAGTTCTGTTAGCAGCTTTCTCCTGGTGCAGCCTGAGGGTCAGAATCTGGCCCAGACTTCCTAGCAACTCTCACTCAGTTCTTGCTAACCAAAGCTTGTTTTGAGTCCCACCTACCTGCCAACCATCAGAGCTGGACTCGCTGGTACCTCAGAAGCCAGAGGTAGCCTGTTCTCCATGAGTTCTTGCAAAGCCTCAGGATGGTGTCCCATCTGGACTTCTATACAACCAAACATGGTGGTGGCTTCCCCATCTTTGTCCTGAACTCCAAGGCCTGGGCCTGAGTGGCTAGAGCAGCCACTACCTGCTTTCCAATGGCATTGAAAGAGACTGGCTGTGTGGCCTCTAGTCCTCCCGCTGAATCCTGGAGGGCCAGGTGTCCAGTCAGTGGGAAGAGACCTGCACTTAGACTGGAGTGCCACCCCCTCCCCCCATCATGGTTAGGCTGGTGTCCGTCTTTACCTCTGAACTACAGCTTTCATCTCTGTAAGTAGGGAAGCCTCCCACGATGCTGCTGGAGCATGTGAGTGTGTGTGCCGGTTCTAGGCTCTTCAGACAATGAATACTCATCTTTGGCCTGAGATTCCATCCTGAAAGGAGCGATTCCAGGCTTTGTGAGCATTTGTCCTGGGTCACGTTCTGCACTGGGCATGCTCAGGACTGGGTTTGCCCTTCACAGTAGCTGCTGGATCTATGTTAAGCAACCAGAGACAGGGACCCCAGGTGGCCATTGACACTTGAATTCAGTGAATTAAACTTAAATGAGACCTAAGCTTAGCCCTTCCTCTGCTGCAGGGCCACCACAGGTGAAGCATTCCACAGCAACCAGTGTTTCTGCCTCCTCGTTGTAGGCGACACAATCGATCTAGAACATTCCCACCATTGGGGAAATTCTATGGCCATGCTGCACTGTGTTATTGAACTGTTTCCCAAGTATAACTATGAGGACAAGGTGGTGACATGCCATAGGTAGAGTCTCAGTCTGCACTCTGCCTCCACCGCCACCGCCAAACAGTGTTTCTCTGTGTGGCTTTGGAGCCTGTTCCTGGAACTCGTTCTGTAGACCAGGCTGGCCTGGAACCCAGAGAGATCCACCTGCCTCTGCCTCCCAGGTGCTGGGATTAAAGGCATGCGCCACCTCCGCCCAGCCTGCACTCTTCGATTTTGATCAGCATAGATCTTTCTCCTGCCGTGAACCTTCAGTGGGCTCACAGAAGGCAATGCCTACATTGTCTTCCTGGGGAACTTGAGGCGAGTAGGTTTTGAACCAACGTCAAATGAATGAATGAGTAACATCACCTGATGCAACTTTGGGACAAACTTGACTCCCCTCCTGACGGAATTAACTTGGGGTGGGTAGAGCCAGCCGCTGAGGAGTGATGGATGGCTCCTTTCTCAAGATAAATGTGGCAGTCAAGGTAATCAGATTGTGTGTGACGGTCTAATTTGTAGGCAAGGGGAGGAAGCGCCCAGCCATGCCTCGCCCCAGCCGCCCATATTAGTTTAATCAAATGCCCGGTATCTAAATGGCTGGGCCCAAGTGATGGATGGTGTGGGCTTTGTTAAATGCTGTTGCCCTGTTGAGCCTAACTTCCCAAAGTCCTACCAGACTCTTGAGCTCTTTAATTTGTTTCTTCTTGCTTGGTTATCTCAGTGTGGAGCAGGGAAATGAGGCCTGGGCTCTCTCTGTCTTCAAGTGTGGGTTTTCGGGGAGGCTACAGAGGAGGCCGGAAGTAACTGACGTGGAGTCCATTTCCACCTTTTCTCAGAAGCCTTCCCAAGTCTACCTTGCTGTCTTGGGGAACCACACCCTTCAACCTGGGCTCAAACCTTCTGTCCCAAGACTCAACCCTTTACTTCAGCCATCTGCCCCCCCCCCGTGTGTGTGTGTGTGTGTGTGTGTGTGTGTGTGTGTGTGTGTGTGTGTGTGTGTGTGTGTGTTCCTCTCTAGTGCTAGCTGTCCTGGAACTCACTATGTAGATCAGGGGTCCACCTGCCTCTCCCTCCCTCCCAAGTGCTGGAATAAAAGGTGTGCTTCCTTTTCATCTTCTAAATGGGACGTTTCAGTGATAAGTTTTTCTCCATGCAGTATGGTTATTGCTCAGTCTCCCATTAGTGCAAGGAACCCTGCCGGAGAGTGTTCTGCGACCCTCGGATCATGGAGTTTTCCTGCCTTTCCATCTGGACAATGTATTGTGCGCGCGCACACGCACACACACAGACGCACACGCACACACCCGTACATACACTCTGGTCTGCGGCGCATAGAGAAGACAGTGTCCTGCCCTCTGGGAATTCACGATGTGTTTGGTCTGAAATCTCCATTCTTGAAAGGGGACAGCTCGTAGAAAGGGCTCCTTCCTCCCTCGCCGCACACCTGGCTGCCTAACAGTAGTGTTTCTCATCTGCCCACACTCGCTACAGGTGTGGCGGTGGAAGCCACACAGAGAAACCTTGGTGTTGTTCCAGGTGGGGAGTGGGAAAGTCGGCTAAGAAACTTCTGTTAAGTAGCAGGTAGCCCAGAGTTCCGAGCGGTGCAGCAGGGCCGGCAGGCGGTGAGCCCAGGGCCTGGGAGGAAGCCCCGGCTGAGGAGGAGGAGGAGGTGGTGGTGAAGGAGCACCCCAAAATAAGTGTCTGCATGGGGTCAAAACGTTTTTGCTGTGAGTCTATGATTGAAAAGCTCTGCAAGGGAAAGAAAAAAAAAAAACCTCCAACAGCAGTGGTCCCCTGCTGAGAGGAAGTGGGGGTGGTGTCAACAACAACAGTTTCCACCACTCTAATTGTATGCATTGCATGCATAGCCTCTTCAGGAAGAGAACGGGGAGGTGGATCAGGTATTGGGAGAACTGTGGATCTGGAGCTCTTGCTGCCTCTGTTTATATCTGCTTGCTGTACGAGGAATGTGGATTTATTATGTACTTTGTAAAAATAAAATGCCATTTTTTTCTCCCTCAAAGAGGGTAGATTCCCCTGTCACGTGCTCTTGCCCTCAAAGCCTCTGGGGGCCAGGAGAACAGACATAGGGCTCACTGGCCCCAGGACTGTCTGGATGGCAGAAAAAAGGGGATGTGCTGGTTTCTGTCTAGCATACGCTGCTGGCCTTCTGTTAAGGACCCGGCTCTGTTAAGGTCAGAGAAAGAAACTACTCTCACCCTCAGACTCTCCCCGGGTTCAGGATCCCAGGGTAGTCCAAACTGTGAAGTCTGGCTCCCTACGGGCAGCTGGACTTGCTCCAGCCTGCTGACCACCATGCGTGACCCCCGTGGCCTTGCAGGGTTGCCGATTGTCTAGCCAGAGCAGCCCCCCTCAGGCCTCAAGCTTGCCCTGCTGGTGCTGCTCCAGCCCCTCCTGCCCCAGTGTTTTTTGAGTGTCTCTTTCGCCTCAAGCTCTGTTAATTTTTCATGGCCTCCATCAGAGGCTGAAGGTAAAAGCTGTTGCCTGCAGGAAGGAAGCAGGGGCTGGAGAGGCGGAGGGAAGCGGGAAGCAGGAGTGTTGTGTGATGATTAAACACTGCAGAGGCCTAAACAAATGACAGTACCTCCTCCAGAGGCTCGGAGAAGAGAAGCCAGGAGCTGGGACTGAGCAGCAGATGGCCCAGGCTGCTGTCTGTCTCGGGCTTGCTCTCGCCCATCAAGTTCTGCCTTACCTAGGGGCTGCGTCTGAGACCCCCCACAGCTGACTCAGCCCTGCCGGCTACCCTGGGATGCTAGGCACACAGAGTACTCAATGCCGCTCGGCCAGTCCACCAGCTGGTGATGGTGGCCCTGAGAGCTGCTGAAGACAGACCCCAAGGTTTCCAGAGAGAGACGCTTCAGTCAGGCCTCTCGGGCAGGGTCACCAGAAGAGGACCTGACCTGAGTGAGTCAGGTTCTCCACCTGTAGCTCTGTCACGCCTCTAGAACACCTGTGTAGACAGAAAGGTCACCGGCAGGTGAGGCAGGTGGTGCATAAACCCCACCACCACCTGGGCCTTGCTCCAGACTCTGTGATATATAACCAAGGCTCCACCTATTCCTGTCTCCAGCCCAGGATTCTTTCCCTGGGAGTCCAAGGTCAAACAAACCTCTGCGGTCCAGGATGCAAAGGTCAGGGGGAGGTTAGAGAACATCCGCCAAGCTTCACAGCACCGGCCCTGAGAGCTCCCGAGCGTTCTTCGGTGAAAGGGAGAAAGAGAAGGGTCTCTCAAAATCCATGCCCAAAGCTCTCCCGGGGGGCATCGCCATGACCTAGTGGGACTGCAGATTCCTTAGCTTTGTCCCACTGAATCAGAGACACTTCCCCACCCCACCCCCCATCCCCAGAGAGTAGAGTCAGCAATTGTAACTGCCCTTCCAGACGATTCTAAGGGTTAGACAAGAAGGCTGTCTGGCCTGGGCGCCCAGGTGGCTCGTTCCTGCTTTGGGACTTCCCTGTCCAGGACATACTGTTACAAACTGGTGTGTTACATACTGAGTGACGGGAGTAGCCAGGAAGCCCCTTGGGTGTCAATAGAATCAACGTCCACTGCTACGAGATGACTGGCTATTTGAAGAAGCCCGCAGAGAATTATGTCCCCCTCCAGTATGCCATATGAAGTGTCTCCTTTGTGTTTGCTTCAGAGGCAGCTGTTGGAAAAGGAAGGGTTGTCTATGACTAAACAGATAGTTGGCATTCTGGAACGTGTTCCAGAATGTTGCTCTAGGATTCAAAAGGGACCCCTGTGGTTTTAAGAAGAGCCAGTGGCATGAAAGCGTCACGAGATCTGGTACGTTCCTACAGCAGACTACCAACCTTGATGGGTACCTGGAGAGGAGGCGGTCATGGGCAGACACACATTGGTCTCCAGTTCCCTCAAGCATTACGTCAGGCTTTCTCAGAAAAGGCGTAGAATAGCCAGGCGGGGAGGGCTTAGAAACGAAACTGCGTGCTCTCTCTCTCTCTCTCTCTCTCATTTAGTGACTAGGAAGACATACCCAGCTGTGCAGTTCTGGGTGGAGAACCCACTTGAAGACTGGGCAGGAAGGAGCCTCTAACCACCCCTGCTTGCTGTGTTTGGAGTCTCTGGACTGTGAGGCCCCCCCAAAAAAAGGCACCTGTGCTGTCCCAGAGCTAACTCCTTAGCCTGGAGTTGGAGGGAGGAGGCCCCATCTGTGTTTTGTTTTGTTTTGTTTTTCACCAGGATCCAGAAAGTCTAAAACGTAACCTGTCAGGCAGCTGGGAAATCAGGGGATAGGTGGTGAATTAGGGGGTACGAGGCCTAAAGGCAGAGGGTAATACGGGATGTGACTGTCCGATGCTCCCTGAGTGAAGGGTGTGGGTCACCCTGTGAAGTGCTGTCACCCTGGTCTCACCTGCACCTGTCACCATGCCCATGCCCCTTGAGCTTGGGGGACTGCCTGGATTGCTTATGTAGAAACAAGTTTGCGGTAGGGAGATCACTTCCCCCAAAGCTTAGTCACCCGAGATGGCCTCTGCGTTTGGTGTCATGAGCTCTGCCATTTGGAGGTTCCTAGGGTGGTCACTGGCTGCTGGCTCTCCTGGGATCTGTCTGACACACAGTGTACAGCCAGGCTGCTCAGCACACAAACCGAGGATCTGTTGCCATCCAGCTACTGGTGTGTTGAGAACTGGGGTTCTCTTCTATCTAAGGAAGAACTGGAACTCGCTCCAGCCTCTTACCTAGAGGAACCAGACCGTGAGATGTCTCAGAGGAGATTTAGGGAAAAATAGACTCTCATAGCATTTCCTTTGCCTTCCCTCCCCCAAGTTCCCTGAGGTCAAGCAGAGGGTAGTCCTGGTCAGCCTGCAGGAAAAAGCGTGTGCGGAAAGGAAAAATGGATCTTGAGACTGTTCCTGCTGGAATGAGGCCCACAGGCAGCTCCAGGCACAAGAAAGTGGGGTTCCTTTCTCACCTTACAGACCCAGGCCAGTGTGAGGAGAGTCTCTTGGTTCTCCCTTCTGGGCTCTCCTTGGCTTGTTCGAGCACTCCTTAGGGCAAGAAGGCATTGCAGAAGGCGGGGGTGGGGGGGTCCTCAGTAGCCATTCAGGAATACTGATGTTTCCTTCAGCACTAAGACCTGCCCTGGTGGAACCCACGTCCTCCCAGGATGAGGAGAGCAGGTACAGTGTAACCTGGGCCCTGTCTGCTATGGCCACAGGCCCAAGGCTTTAGAAGGAAGACTTCCTAGGGGGTCCCCTTCTCTCCACTGCACACTAGCTTTGTTGTTAGTTTGTTTTGTTTATGGTGGTGCTAGGGATTGGACCCAGAGCTCCAGTCATGCTACTCAACTGTTCTACCACTGAGATACTATCCCCAGCCCTTGCACTATTTCTTGTTATGGTTTTGGTTTTGAAATGAAAGTCCTACTATGTAGCCCTGACTGTTGTGGAGTTTGCTATGTAGACCAGGCTGGCCTGCCTCTACCAAGTGCCTCCTGAGTGTTGGGACTAAAGGCCTGGCCCGTTACCTTTTTAGTTTTGTGTGTGGAGATCAAAGGACACTACTTGTGGGAACCATTTCTCTCTATCCACCATTTGGGTCCTGGGATTCAAACTCAAGTTGTTAGGCTCGGCAACCAAGCACCCTTACCCACTGAACCTTCTCACTGGTCTTGTTTTGTTATCCATGCTCTTTCGTTTCCCGTTGTAGTGGTCTGCAACCCCCACCCCTCACCCCCACCCCACCCCCCCAGCCAGCAAACGTCCATCCCTACAGCCTAAGACGACAAAGGTCACAACCTGCCACACACTAAGCTGTGGCCTGAGTCAGGCTCCTGAGTTCTGGAGAGGAGCTGTAGCTGTCCGCCCACAGGAGGATCTGTGGGAGGACCGAAGAGCCAGTACTTCAAGAGGGAAGTTTCCAGAAGTGACTCCCTGCCAGCTGTTCTCATCCAACAGTTTGCTGGCCAGCATCCCAGCCCAAGCCCATCCTTAGGTCCAGAGTTCTTTGAGAGGACACTTTGCAGAGGTGGGATCGTGTTAAGGGTAGGAACACTCTCTTCCTGATGAAAACACACTCTTGGATTTGCGCCGAACTGCCTTGGCATATGAGTCTTAATTATACTGGTTAGCTCTGCAGTAATGAGCGGTGGGTGTGGCACTTTGCAGACTGGGCTTTTTTTTTTTCTGAAGCCCAACTCATCTGGAATTTCCTTGGGTCCTTCCTCTCTTGCTCCGCCTGGACAGCCCTCCGCAGGGCAAGGAACAGCCAAACCGGTTTGGGAATCAGCCTTGCAGGCTCCAAGGTCCCCCAGAGTTCAGTTCCCAGGGTGTGTTCACACGCCTTGTAAGACTCCAACTTCTGCCAACCATAGAGCCCTTGGGAAGAGGGGGGTAGGAGTGAGCAGGAGTGTTCTGGAGGCCGGGGTGGGATGGGGGGGGTGTGTGGCCTGAAGCTACTCCAGGCTGGGCCAGACCACGGGATCATTGAAGCCTGCCCCTTCCCAGCCTGAGGGGCTGTCAGGGAACTAACATGCGTGTCCCAGGCGGGCTGCGCACCAGACCTGGCCAGTTCTTGCCAGGACCTAAGCTCCTGTAAGAAGGAAGGGGTAAATGGAAGTGCTCCCAGTCAGTTGTGCCAACACGCAGCCTCCCCTAGTTGTGCCAACACGCAGCCTCCCCTGGTCTTGCCCTTCTTACCACACAGCGACAGGGATGGCAGAGCAGGGAACAGAAGGTGAGACTCATCTGGGAAAGCCAGAAGCTGCTGAAGCTCTGGCCAACAGCATCCTACTTAGAAAGGCAGGGCCACAGTGTGGCAGTGCCTCGGGAGAGCTCCCTCCACAGAAACCTGGGGGCTGTCGTCGGCACCACCAGAGTCCAGCTCCCTGTGACTGCGAAGGAGTCCTCTGACCCCTTCGCTATAGCTGCCAGCTGTGGAGGACCTCCCGCCCACCCACATTGCCCCCCCCAACTCTTCCTTCCGTGGAGCTTAGAAAGGGCAGAAACTGCTCATGGCCACACCAGGAAAGTTGGTATTGAAAACTCGGCTCAGATGAGAAACTGGGATGGTAGCACTTCAGTGTCTCTCAGATACAATGTTGCAGCCCAAGAGACATAAAAGGAAAGTCCTGCGCACCAGTGAGTGGCAGAGCCTCTGTCCTGAGAGTAATCGCGTTTGAATCCACCAACCCCCCCCCCACTCCCTTCCTCCAGTACCGGTGTTGGGTGTTGTCTCGTGCCTTCCTTGAGGCATGGGATGTGAGGGATGACGCTGAGGGTGCCAAGTAGCTGGGAAGGGGGGAGGAAGTGTTGACTCTGTGCTCTCATGTTTCTGGGCAGATCCTCACCACTCGCAGCAGGGTGAGCAAGGTCAAAATGGCCACCCGGTCCTACAGACGGACGTGCCTGCAGAGCCCTAAGGCTGCCTTATGGTTGTCAGTGACTCAGAGCAACCTGCCCCAGTCCAAGACTAGGATCTCCTCTCGTGGTCACATGGCTTCCTTTGTGGGTTCCTCCTAGGGCAGGGAATGGGACCATTTCTCCATTTCTGGGGCACCCAGCAGAGGAGGACTCCCTGAGGCCAGCGGAAAACAGCCTGTCAGTGCCATGGCGAGTAGGCAGAGTGACAATTCTGTGGACATTTCTGTTCTCCAGAACACAGGTGCAGAGCCCTGGCTCCTGTCACCCTCCTTCGGGGCACAGTTGGGTAAATCTGAGGACCTTCCCAAGCTGGTTTGTGTGGAGAGGGTGCCAGTGAAGTCTGCCCTGGCCTCTGTGCTCCGTTCTCCTGCAAGAGGGTGGGGCTTGACAGGCTGGCCCCCTGACACACTTTGGACACAGGAGCTGAGGCGGGAGTAGGTCAATGTCAAGGTAAGGGGAGGGAGGAGCTTGCAGAGGAGCATGTGGACACTCTTGCGTGCCAGAGATGGCACTGCCCACCCCCAGGGAGCATGGAGCCCTAAAGGTGCCAAGTGGGCAATTTTTAGCATTTATGTGCATTTGTATGATTCTCCTAGAGTTTGGGAAAGACAGACCCACAAGGGACCAGATCCATTTGTGCATTTATCAGGTGTCTCAGCACTGGGAAGCCTGCAGAGGAGGGCAGCAGGGAAAACCAGTCAGGTGATTTAGCCTGCAGGATGCTCTCTGGCTGCCAGCGTGGTATCTGCATTTGTCTGTGAGCTGATTTAATACTCACATCTCAGGAGGGAGGAGACTTGGGACTTCTCATGTGAGCTTCCCAAATTAAGTCTGATCTATTGTGTTGGGGCTCCTCAGACCAGGCCAGTGAACAAGAGGAATTAAGTAGATAGATGGATAGATGGATGGATGGATGGATGGATGGATGGATGGATGGATGGATGGATAGATAGATAGATAGATAGATAGATAGATAGATAGATAGATAGACAGACAGACAGACCACAGACATACATTATATTCATCAGTTCATTGGTGTTTTGCCTGCATGTATGTCTGTGCAAGGGTGTCAAATCCCCTGGACTAGAGTTTCAGACAGGTGTGAGCTGCCATGTGGGTGCTGGGAATTGAACCTGAGTCCTCTGGAAGAGCAGCCAGTGCTCTTAACCTCTGAGCCATCTCTAGCTCCGAAAAAGAGGAATTCTTACTGTGTCCCCATTTTACACAGAGAGGGAAGGGATGAGCCCAGGCCTCTATAT